TAACAGCAGTGATAACAGCAGTGATAACAGCAGTAATAAACAGCAGTGATAACAGCAGTGATAACAGCAGTGATAACAGCAGTAATAACAGCAGTGATAACAGCAGTGATAACAGCAGTGATAACAGCAGTAATAACAGCAGTGATAACAGCAGTGATAACAGCAGTGATAACAGCAGTGATAACAGCAGTGATAACAGCAGTGATAACAGCAGTGATAACAGCAGTGATAACAGCAGCGATAACAGCAGTAATAACAGCAGTGATAACAGCAGTGATAACAGCAGTGATAACAGCAGTGATAACAGCAGTGATAACAGCAGTGATAACAGCAGTGATAACAGCAGTGATAACAGCAGTGATAACAGCAGTGATAACAGCAGTAATAACAGCAGTGATAACAGCAGTGATAACAGCAGTGATAACAGCAGTGATAACAGCAGTGATAACAGCAGTGATAACAGCAGTGATAACAGCAGCGATAACAGCAGTGATAACAGCAGTGATAACAGCAGTGATAACAGCAGTAATAACAGCAGTGATAACAGCAGTGATAACAGCAGTGATAACAGCAGTAATAACAGCAGTGATAACAGCAGTGATAACAGCAGTAATAACAGCAGTGATAACAGCAGTGATAACAGCAGTGATAACAGCAGTAATAACAGCAGTGATAACAGCAGTGATAACAGCAGTGATAACAGCAGCGATAACAGCAGTGATAACAGCAGTGATAACAGCAGTGATAACAGCAGTAATAACAGCAGTGATAACAGCAGTGATAACAGCAGTGATAACAGCAGTGATAACAGCAGTGATAACAGCAGTGATAACAGCAGTAATAACAGCAATAATAACAGCAATAATAACAGCAGTAATTACAGCAGTAATAACAACAGTGCTATGAGGAGTGATAACAGCAGTAATAACAGCAGTGATAACAGCAGTAATAACAGCAATAATAACAGCAGTAATAACAGCAGTAATAACAGCAGTAATAACAACAGTGCTATGAGGAGTGATAACAGCAGTAATAACAGCAGTAATAACAGCAGTGATAACAGCAGTAATAACAGCAATAATAACAGCAGTAATAACAGCAGTAATAACAGCAGTAATAACAGCAATAATAACAGCAGTAATAACAGCAGTAATAACAGCAGTAATAACAGCAATAATAACAGCAGTAATAACAGCAATAATAACAGCAGTAATAACAGCAGTAATAACAGCAGTGATAACAGCAGTAATAACAGCAATAATAACAGCAGTAATAACAGCAGTAATAACAGCAGTAATAACAGCAATAATAACAGCAATAATAACAGCAGTGCTATGAGCAGTGATAACAGTAGTAATAACAGCACTAATAACAGCAGTGATAACAGCAGTAATAACAGCAGTAATAACAGCAGTAATAACAGCAATAATAACAGCAGTAATAACAGCAGTAATTACAGCAGTAATAACAGCAGTGCTATGAGCAGTGATAACAGTAGTAATAACAGCAGTAATAACAGCAGTGATAACAGCAGTAATAACAGCAGTAATAACAGCAGTAATAACAGCAGTGATAACAGCAGTAATAACAGCAGTAATAACAGCAGTAATAACAGCAGTAATAACAGCAGTGATAACAGCAGTAATAACAGCAGTAATAACAGCAGTAATAACAGGAGTAATAACAGCAGTGATAACAGCAGTAATAACAGCAGTAATAACAGCAGTAATAACAGCAGTAATAACAGCAATAATAACAGCAGTAATAACAGCAGTAATAACAGCAATAATAACAGCAATAATACCAGCAATAATAACAGCAATAATAACAGCAGTAATAACAGCAATATTACAGGTAACAGCTGTAGTAAAACAATATTTAAAAATAAAACAACAGCAGCAGCAATGGTAATAGATGGAACAGCAATAATAAAAGTGGTAATGAACGGTACGGCAACAGAAAAAAACAGTAGCAACAACAGCAGTAGCATGAAAAAAAAAACCCAGAAGCAACAGTTAGAAGAATCAGTAAGGATATACCGCAGTGCGCTGCGTCTTGGATAAACTTCCGGTCTCGAGTTCCGACTTGTACCTTTCTGGATTTGTGACTTTCTGTCCCTCACTAGATCACTGGAAGCAAAACACCAGGATGGAGAGGCGGGTAATGCTGCCAGTGTTCAATTATTATCTCTTACGCCTCACTAGTCACGCTGAAAGCTTTGCTTTATTCAGTAGGTGATCTCTTAGGGACAGATTTAACACTTCCCAGAATACTGTTCTTAGAAATTAGTCGCGTGCACTCAACAGTGACTCCAAAGGCTGGAAAATTTATCTGAACAAACTGCAAGATTGGTCAGATAAGCGGTTATATGGATTCCACAGTCAGCAAGGTTATGAAGTTCAGGAAATGGGCAAAGAAGACAGGACACGGTGTACAAACTCAGGGAACACAGACTGCAGCCCGCACTCATAGGGGTAAACATTGTGCCAAGTGTAATACTGGAGGCTCACATCAACCTCTGCAGTTCGTTTGCTAAATCTTAGAGCAGCCTTCAAGAATGTCAAAAAAATAGCCATTTATGACCCTACAGTATACACAAGATACGTCAGGTCCATCTTAGAGCATACAAACAACAACATGGACCCCACATCTGATAAAGCATGTTAAGAAACTGGAGAAAGTGTTGCAATATGCAACGAGGCTAGTTAATTATGGTAAGAGGCTAAAGGAATTAAACCTGACATCATTAGAGGAGAGAATAACCAGAGAAGACTTGATAACAGCATTTAAAAGACACAGCAAACTAACAGATTAGACAGGGATAGACTGAGTGGAAGGAATCAGTTATTCGGGGCCACAGTTAGAAGTTAAAGGCACAGGTAAGTTATGGAATGACAGGAAGGTCAGAAATGACAGGGGAGGTCAGAAAGAGGAAAAATCTGGATGAAAAAGTGGCAGGGTAAAAGTTCCATATATAATTTTACAAGTTGGTGTAACAGAGGTAATAATGCTTGGAGGAAGTGAATCTGAAAAACTCGACCCTTGCAAGCAAATATAGGTATACAGTAGATAGGTCCGTAAGCACACACACAGACACACACAGCGGCAATTAACACAAAGAAACACACACACACACACACACACACACACACACACAAAAAAAAAAAAAAAAAAAAAAAAAAAAAAAAAAAAAAAAAAAAAAAAGTCATGTTATATAACATATAACAGGCTAATCACATGTTTTCTGCAATATACACAACATTAAGCCTGTTATCCCTTCAATAAGTTATCTTTAAGCCACTCGTAAGTTATTTATAAGCAACTGTCTGTGCTTGTAGGTCCGCTGACGAAGGTTCGGGCGGTGAAGGATGGGCAGGTGCTGCTGCCGTGTGACATGGAGCCGCCGCTCCTTAACGACTCCACCCACCTCGTTCTCTTCTACCATGGCGACGGTGGCACTCCTATATACAGGTAAGACACGGTGGCACTCCCATATAAAGGTAAGACACAGTGGCACTCCTATATACAGGTAAGACACGGTGGCACTCCCATATACAGGTAAGACAGTGGCACTCCTATATACAGGTAAGACACAGTGGCACTCCTATATACAGGTAAGATACAGTGGCACTCCTATATACAGATAAGACTGTAGTTTACCTCTTCTGGTTCATGTTCCTCTACGACTGCGCCCACATATAGAAGCCAAACGACTAGAATGTGTAGCTTAATTATTCATAAATAAGACAAATGCACAACACTTACGTATCTTAAATGTCGAAACGTTTCGCCAACCCAGCAGGCTTCATCAGTCGAATACAGGAGAATATAAAGGTGGAAACGGTAGAATAAGTGAACAGATAATATTGAGATCCGCCTCTCAGCTTTAATATCAGGTGGTCAGTCCCTCAGTGTTGCATACATGTCTTGTTCCTGAGCGTGTCGTAGTGTATACCATCTGAAGCACCGTCCTGAAGCACGATACAACAGCTTACTATCGATAGTAACGACGAAAGACAGTTGCAGAAGAAGCTTTTATTCTGAAAATATCTGTGTACACAACTATACGAATACAATGCGGCTATCCAGTAGGACTTCTGGTCCGTAACTCGCTTAGTAGCGCACTCAGCTCACACACTGAGTGTTCGTGGTTCTATCCCCAGTAACAGTGGAAACATTGGGCGTGCTTCCGTACACCTGTTGTCCCTGTTCACCGAGCAGTGGGTGGGTACCTGGGTCTTAACCGACTGGTGTGGGTGGCATCCTGAGGACTAGATTAACCTTAGTTGCTTGAAATGCGCTGCATAACCAGTGCCTTTCAATATACAGTATGTCATTAATGTCAGTTATTATTATTATTATTATTATTATTATTATTATTATTATTATTATTATTATTATTATTATTATTATTTTATTATTATTATTATTATTATTGCTATGTGGCTCCAGACTTTCCTAGTCAGTTTCCATATAGTTGAAGTCTCCCATGATCAGTATTTTTGCACTGATACACGAGTTACCTCCAGTCTCGTATCTAACAAGGCCCTGTTGGCGTCTTAATATTTCTGCCTTGGTCTCTTGCTGTTTAGTGGTAGGTTGTACATCACTACTATCACCACCCTGGGTTATGTAATTCTCATTGTCTCTGTTATGTTGTCATTAGACACCTCTCCATTTATTCCACAATTTATTCCTGAAAAGACAACTGGCTTCTGATTGGCAATGCCACTCCTCCTCCCATGTTTCCTCTGTTTTTTCTCATTATTTGATATCCTTCTGGGAAGACCACATCTGTTATGTGAGCTTGATCTTTCTCGTAGCACAACGTCTGGGGCTGCTTGGTTGTCAACCCATCAATGTTGGTATACCAAACTTTCAGTTTCCTTTCTGTTATTGTGCTCTGAATTTCAGTTCCTGTTTTAGGGTTAGGGTGAGGGCTGTGGGGGTGATACTGTGGGTGTGGGTGATGTAGGATAAGGAGAGTGGGGAACAGAAGAAATGAGAATTTGGGGGTAGGGATTTGAGATATGATTCTGCAGTGATAAAGGTAAGGAATAAGTGTGAAGGTGGGGAAGGATGGTGTAAGGGGAGTAGGGGATTGTTTGTTTCAAACAATTGTGTATGAATGGGAGAGAGGAGTTGGGGTTGCATGGGTTGTTTGGTTCTGAACCTGATGTTCCCCTTGAAGCAGAGGTTTTATATGGTGGAGTGTATGTGTGTACTCACCTAGTTGTGGTTGCGGGGGTCGATTCACAGCTCCTCTTCAACTCGCCTCTACCCGGTCACTCTTCCCGCTCCCTGAGCTTTATCATACCTCTTCTTAAAGCTGTGTATGGAGCCTGCCTCCATTACATCACTGCCCAGGCTATTCCACTTCCTGACAACTCTGTGGCTGAAGAAATACTTCCTAACATCCCTGTGGTTCATTTGAGTCTTCAGCTTCCAACTGTGACCCCTTGTTGCTGTGTCCCATCTCTGGAACATCCTGTCTCTGTCCACATTGTCTGTACCTCTCAGTATTTTATATGTCGTTATCATATCCCCCCTAACTCTCCTGTCTTCCAGTGTCGTCAGGTCTATTTCCCTTAACCTCTCCTCGTATTACATACGTATTGTACGTATTGTTGTTGTTGTTGTTGCTGTTGTTGTTGTTGTTGTTGTTGTTGTTGTTGTTGTTGTTGTTGTTGTTGTTGTTGTGTGTGTGTGTGTGTGTGTGTGTGTGTGTGTGTGTGTGTGTGCGTGTGTGTGTGTGTGTGTGTGTGTGTGTGTGTGTGTGTGTGTGTGTGTGTGTGTGTGTGTGTGTGTGTGTGTGTGTGTGTGTATATGTGAACTCGCCTTTGTGATTGCAGGTGTCGAGTCCTAGCTCCTGGCCCCGCCTCTCAACTTGCCGCTTGTCAGATTCCCTCCTAACCTCGTGGTCCTTATCGTACCTACTCTTAAAACTTTGTACGAACACTGCTTCCTACACATCTTCCTCTTCGTGACTATCTTCAGACTGAATAAATAGTTCATGACATCCTTCTTGCTCATCTGTGTCTTTTGCCTCTAATAAATCCCCAAGACAACTATCACTGTCTAATTTATAAATTCCTCTAAGTATTTTGTATGTTATCATTTCTCCTATGACTCTTCTGTCCTCCAGTGACTTTAGATAATTATCCATTATCCTCCCTCATAGTTCCTACTCTAAGTCTGGACCCAGCCTCGTTGCCTACCATTGTATATTTTCCAGTTTCTTATGTGTGGGTTCTATGCTGGTACTGCATACTCCAAGATGGGTCTGAAATATGTTGTATAAAGGACCTGGAGGGACTTTGTTGAATTTCTTGAAGGATATAGTTGCTAGATGAGTGTTGACTGCAGAGGTTATTCAGCTGATGTGAGGCTCTGGCGATGCCAGGCACTATGCTCAGTCAAAAGTCTTTCGTTTTGTGTGAGGTCTGCAATCTTTGTCTTTCGAATTTATACTCTGTGTCTGGTCTTCTTGCCATGTCGCAATCTTTATAGCCTTACATATGCTGGGGTTGAAGTCTAGCAAGAACTTTTCTGACTAATCTTGCAGTTTGTCCAGATGAATCTGTCCTCATCAGGACTTAAGAAATCGTAATGACACGATTGCAAATAAACCATACCCCCGGCCGGGATTGAACCCGCGGTCATATACCTAGTTGGATGAATCTTATTGTGGCTAGCTGGTCTAGTGGTTAGCGCGACGGGCTGGAGTTTTGAGACTCTATGACCGCGGGTTCAATCCCGGCCGGGGGTATGGTTTTTTCTGTCCTCATCAGTTTTTATTCTCACTAATTTTACGTAAGTTGAAGATTGAGACACTTATGCAACATATGGGAATCTTTATTCAGGAAACGTTTCGCCACACAGTGGCTTCATCAGTCCAATACAAAGCAGAAGGTGTAATCAGCAAACAGGAATACATATGACTCAATCCCAACTGACATGTTATTCATATATATCAGAAAATGTACCGATACTAATACCTATCCCTGAGGAACCCCACTTGTTACTCTTACCCCTTTTTGACATCTCTTCCTGGACAATCATTATTTGATTCCTTCTCAAGTTACTCTATGATCCACTTTAGTATATTTTTCTGTAATTCTTGCCAACACCTCCAGCTTTTGCTCCAGTTTCTTGTATGGAAGTAATTAAAAATTTGCATTCTATGAAAATGTAATCCACTGTTCTGTCTCTCCCGTCTCACTTCTGTTGTTACGTCAAAGAACTCCAGCAAGTTGGTAAGACAAGATTTTCCATCTCTAAACCTTCTTTCCAACTGTTTTATAACCTTCATGTTTTCTTTAAAATTTTGTTATCTTCCACATTCAGCTGCTGTCTTCCTGGAGACATTTTGACATCACGTTGAGATGGTCCTCTGAAATGTAACATTTTTCATCCCTCCTTTAGAATTAAGCCGCTGTTCTTTCCAACCTCCACGACTCAAGTCTTCCTGAATCCCTTCATAAATTTAAATGTACCTTGTTCACACCTTGTTCACGCCTTGTTCACACCTTGTTCACATCTTGTTCAAATCTTGTTCAAACTCCAGAATCATGTCAGGTCACTAACACCACTTGACTCCACTCGGTCTAACATGCTCACACAAGCCTCTGGGAAGTTGAAACCCCAAGCACTCAAAATTTATTTAACCTCCTCAAGGTGCTTTCTGGGATTACTCCCTCCCCTCCTTCCCTTTACCCCGGATTAATATACCCTCCTGGTTATCATATTACGCTCTATCCTACCCAAAACTATCTCAACAGCCCCTCATCACCTCTCTGAATAACACTTTTGGTAACCGCGTACCATCTTCTAATCTCCAGCTCCGAATTCTCTTTATAATATTCAAACCGCACATTGCCTTTAAACACGACATATCCACTACCTCCAGATTTCCTCCATATTTCCTCCAAACTGCCTCCTTCCAATCTGATATCCAGTCTTTCACTACCTAAATCCTGTTGTTACTCTCGTCATCTTGCTTATTTCTATGCTCACATATAATTTCTTTTATTGATGTATGTAAATAAGTTCCTCCATCAATCTTTGCAGCTTCTCATCAGAAGCTCCTAAAAGATCCGCATCATCGGCAAACAGCATTTCAGACAACTTCACGTTGTATCTAATTCATTTTCCTTAAATCCAACACATTCCTAACACCTTAGCATTCCCTTCTTCAACACCATCTATATGTTAAACAACCATGGTGACATCATACATCCCTGCTTGAGGTCTACTTTTACTGGAAAATAATCCCCCTCTCTCCTGTATACCCTAATCTGAGCTTTTCTCCATAGAAACAGCTTTTTACTGCTTTTAGTACTTACCACCTATTCCATTCAACATGCAACATCTGCCATTTTGCTCTCCTATCTTCCGTATTGCATGCCTTTTCTAAATCCTTAATGCAATGAAAATTTCCCTCCCCATTATCTAACTCCTGTTTATTTATGTTTCAGTGTAAAAACTTTGCTACTCATTCCCTACTTTTATTCTAAATCTTCCGTGTTCTTCTGCTAACCTACTTTTAGTTTAATTTTTAATTCTGTCAATAATAATTCTGCTGTACACTCTCTCTAATCCTATTTTACCATAATAGAAAGAAACTATGCATGATCTCCTCCAATCAGTACCTCTCCTATTTTTAAGCAAATGCCGAACAAAAAACACAGTGACTACAAAACTATATCACAGTTGCTTTTTAACATTTCTGTCTTAATCATATATATTTCAGCTGCTTCACCCCATTTCATTCTACCCACTGTCTACTGCATGTTCCCCACACTCACATCTTCCATACTCCTCGGAGATGTTATACCCTCCCTGCTCAATGCATGATATCACTGATTCTTCTTTTCAACTACTGTATTTTTTAACAACTCCTCAAAATATATCCTCCATCTTCCCAGGACTTCCACCTTCCTAACTAACATCCCCTCTCTTTTATTTTTAACTGCTAAATTCATCCATTCCTTATGATTTCTTAACTTAATTTCTCCAAAACGTTTTCTTATTCTCAGCAGTATTTGTTGATATAGCCTCAGCCAATCTCTTATTGCCCTCCTGCAGCACGCCATCACAATGTTATTCCCCTCTTTCTCTCTCCATATACTCTGCCTTCTGTATGTGACTTCTACATTACAGTATAAAATCCTCTCATCTGCTAACTTTTTTCCTCCCTTATAACCCTATTTACCTCGTCATTCAACCATTCGCTCCTCTTCACACCTGCTACCAGTTTCCTACATCCCCGAACTTTTGTTGTGAACACGAACTCACTTACTCATCCTCTCTCTCTCTCTCTCTCTCTCTCTCTCTCTCTCTCTCTCTCTCTCTCTCTCTCTCTCTCCTCTCTCTCTCTCTCTCTCTCTCTCTCTCTCTCTCTCTCTCTCTCTCTCTCTCTCTCTCTCTCTCTCTCTCTCTCTCTTCTCTCTCTCTCTCTCTCACACACACACGTGCGCACGTACGTACAATCATAACGTTACTTTACTCCACCTCAAGTATCTTCTCTCGTGCTATTGGAGCATCAAGTCTGCAGCAATCAGCAAGTGATCAGTGTCTGGGATGGCTTTCATGAAATGTAAATATTGTTATATTGCTGACCACAAGCTATCATGTGGGAGTTCGACACGTGGATTAGGTAAGAAATACTCACGTAGGCTGTTATTACGTATAATTACAGATATGTGGAGATAGCCCTTGCCGCCGTTACCTTGCCTCCTTGCTCACACTCGTAACACTGACTGACCGGCCGCCCACAGTACCCAGTGAGAGGGTCTTTGAATAATGCCAGTTCAGCACAATATGAATAGACAGTGTCTCAGGCAGAGAGGGTTGGTCGTTGAGTCAACAGTACACTGGTTACTGGTAACTGGTTACTACTACTGAGAGCTCGGCGACGCTAACGTATGTCGTCCCGACATACAACTAATACAAACTAGAGATGGCAGGTATACGGCTTGGGCTGATTCTATACAATGTCAAAGTACACAACAATTAAACATTATATATACATAAGTAGAACATTGGAATGAAAGCTTACGTAACTGAAACTGTAATGCAATACAAGGTATACTATAGCACAATTTAAAACTCAACAAATGAACAATGAACTCAACGTGGAGATTACAAGTGATAAAAAAAAAATTTTTGATCAAGCTTTGGCATTGCAGACGTTTTGTTAAAGTTAATCAGCATAACTCTCGAACCTACTTTGATTTTGGATGGCTTTGCTCGAGTGTTTGCGACTCTTGTAAATTCAGCTGTTGATTTATGAAGTGTTTCACGGATTCTTCTAAAAACACTTTGAGCTAAGCTGGTACGAGTTGCTATGAAATCATCAGGGTTGTAATTTGGTTTCGGATTAGAATATAACAACTCATAAGGCAAACGTTTATCTACACCATACAATGCATAATGTGGAGTGTCACCTATAGAAACATTGTAAGCAGAATTTATAGCACACTGCACATCAGGTATAACTTCATCCCAAGTTTCACTGTTGGGATTGATAGTGGCTCTCAAGACATCAAGTACTTTCTTATTGGTTCGTTCCGCTAACCCATTGCTGGCAGGATGATGAGGAACAATGGTGGATTTAGAGATCTTGTACAAGGTACACAAATTTTCAAGAATTTCATTACAGAATTCACCTCCATTATCTGTTACTAGGGACTTAGGAGTGGTATGCCTGCAGATAATGCGTTCTTTAAACGCTTTAGCTACTGTCTCGGCAGTCTTATCTGCAATAGGAACTAACTCACAATATCTGGTGAAATGGTCTACCATAACACACAGATGTTTGTTGCCTTGGAGGGAACATTGGAAATTACTTAACAAATCTAGCGCAACTCTTTCCCACGGTTCGCTAGTAGTTGGATATACTTGGATTGGATTAGGACCATTAGCATTGCCTTTATGTTGCATGCAGACACTACATTTCCTAACATACTCAGAAATATCAGTTGCCATACGAGGCCAAAAGTATTTCAATCTGGCTTGTTTTACTGAACGATCCATACCAGGGTGTGCAACACCTGGTACATCGTGAACTAGCTGTAAGGCTACATTCACTAGTGACTGTGGAATTACTAACTGGTATACTCTTCTGCTAGGAGTACCCAACTCGGCTGTTCGATACAGTAATTCTTGGTTCATGACAAAGTCACTGATGGGTGCTGGTGGCTTCACAGCCAGAATAAGATCTTCCTGGAGCAGGAATCGAATCACACCAGACCACATGGGATCTGTTCGTTGAGCATTCTTTACATCTTCAGCACTAAATGGAGGGTCTGCAGTTACTATACTAACATGTCGCGATAAGGCATCTGCGACTACATTTGACTTGCCAGGTAAATGCTCAAAGGTGGGATTGAACTCTTGGATAGTCAAGGTCCATCTAGCTAACCTTCCAGTAGGTTGTTTGTTCTGGAATAAGGGTATCAGTGGAGCATGGTCTGTCAAGACATGAACAGAGTACTGATAAATAATGTCTCGGAAGTGCTTTAAAGACCATACTATTGCTAAAGCTTCTTGCTCAGTTACTGTATAATTACGTTCAGCCTTCGTAAGGACTCGGCTAGCAAATGCAACTGCGTTGTACTTGCCATCGGTCTTCTGAGCTAGTACGGCACCTATGCCAATTGAACTAGCATCAGTTGTCAGATAGAAGGGCTTAGAAAAATCTGGAAATTTCAAAATTGGAGCAGATGTTAGCTTTTCTTTTAGAGTTTGGAATGCTCTTTCTTGACGGAAGGTCCAAACAAAAGGAGCATCTTTCTTAAGCAACTCAGTTAGAGGAGCAGCTATGGAAGAAAAATTGGCAATGAAAGATCTATAAAAACCTGCTAAGCCCACAAAGGATCTTACGGCATCAGCAGTTTTGGGAGTTGGAAAATTTAGTACTGCAGTTACTTTACTTTGGTCAGTCGTAACCCCTCTAGGAGTGACTACGTGACCAAGAAAGCGAGGTGATTGCTTGACACTCTTAATAGGCCTACATTTGTCCTCCTTTAGACAGTGATAACTAGTGACACCTTACCTTCCATCAGGAAACAGTGCCACCACACTGTAGTTTTCGTTATAATATGCAATATTTTTTAATACCCCCCAAAAACGGGGTTCCTAATACTCAAAGTTTATATATTCAACTCTAGTATGAAGGAAGTTAAACAGAAGAAGCCAGTCTCACGAGTGAGAAAATTTATATGCTTTTCAGTGAGCAAGAGAGTCGAAGCTTCATGAATCAGAAACTAGTTTTGCTTGCACTTTTTGCAGCCTGGACTCGCGGAGTGTAAGTCTGGAGCGAGCCAGCCACTGGGCGGAGCAGGAGCTTGGGGGCCGCGCCTACATGAGGATCGGCAGGAACCAGCGTGGACTCCTGCTGGAGAAGGTACAACTCAAGGACGAGGGTGACTATCGCTGCCGCGTAGACTTTCTTGAGTCGCCCACCAGGAATCTCCGCATCAGACTCGAAGTTGTGGGTAAGTCTGTTAACTGATACCACCTCCCTCCCTACCTCCATCCCTCCCTCTACAAAGGACCCCAATGGAAATAAGTCACTGTGTCTGACTTTTTTGGGTTATCCCAGGTTCTCTACACATATGCTGCTATGTATGATAATTCTATGTAACTGTATTTGTGTATACCTGAATAAATTTACTTACTTACTTATTTACTTATGCCTGTGGAATATAAATCAGCTTATATAAGTGGCTAAAGAAAGAAGGGGTAAGTTAATCATAGATTATAAATGACTACATTAATTAATTTATACTCTATCATTTATGATAAAGACTCTCCAAGTCTTTACCATAACTTGAAGGAGTAAGAAAATGGAAACTCTGGTTTACATAAAATATATGAAAATTAACTTTAATCTGAAAACAAATATGTATGACAGATAAGAGTGAAATATATAATATTAAGATAAGAAACCAAAACCAAAGATGAAAAACTAACTCGTTGAAGAACCTGGAGTCTACCAGGAGGATATTCCGGGGATCAACGCCCCCGCGGCCCGGTCCACGACCAGGCCTCCCGGTGGATCAGGGCCTGATCAACAAGGTTGTCTCTCCTGGCTGAACGTAGTCCAACGTACGAACTTTATCTGTCCAGCTCCCTCATGAAGACAACCAGGGGTCTATTGGTAATTCCCCTTATGGCTGGTGGGAGGCTGTTGAACAGTCTTGGGCCCCGGACACTTATTGTGTTGTTTCTTAGTGTACTAATGGCACCCTTACTTTTCATTAGGGGTATTCTGCATCGCCTACCAAGTCTTTTGCTTTCGTAGGGAGTGATTTCTGTGTGCAGATTAGGGACCAGTCCCTCCAGGATCTTCCAGGTGTAGACTATGATATAGCTGTCTCGCCTGCGCTCCAGTGAGTACAAGTCAAGTGCTTCCAGGCGTTCCCAGCAGCAAAGGTGTTTGATGAACTTACATGTGCAGTAAAGGTTCTCTGTACATTTTGTAGATCTGCTGTGTCACCTGCCTTGAATGGAGATGTTAATGTACAGCAATATTCCAGCCTAGAGAGAACAACTGATTTAAAAAAGGATCAGCAAACAGGAGATAAAACACAGTGGATAGTAAAACACTGTTGACCAAAATTAAAGACTTGTAATACATTCACAAAAAGGGTTTATTCAATACAGTCAAGTCTCGCTAAGGAAAACAGTTGTAATTAGATGGTATGTAGCTCTTCGTTTTAATTGTAAAAGTGAATTAGTCAGTGCGGCATTATAATTATCTCACGAGACTTGTTAAGTTGTCAAGGCACAGTCAGGTCTTCCAGCATTTGCAAACAACAAATATTATTAAACGTACTGCTAGTATGTGCAACTACCAGTACCATCTAATATCTAATATCAGAGGTAACTGCAGCCAGCATGTTGAGGGAGTTCCTTCACTTTGAAAATATGATTGTATTTGATCCTGCTGATCTAGGCACTTGAAAAACATCCACCGTCCTCAAGGCTAGACAATTACTGACCCAGGAGAGCGCTGAACACCCTCCACCCGCTCTCTCTACTTATGGTCAACGAATCATAACTTTCTAAGTATTGCCTGGTTTAGCAACAGCAAATAATAATTAATCAAGTCTTGTCTACGTTATGTTCCTTAAAGGTTTATATGATCTCTGGTTCCCATGAAGTTATGCAGGATACAACCTACCCGCCTAACACTCCACCATTTACCAAAGAAGCCTAATGCTACAGTCTCATTAACTAATTAAAAGAATGCGAATATTTTATTCATGACTCCAAGTCCAGTCAGAGACATTTCACGGGGCAGTTTTTATGACCGTAAATAAAGACAGAAGCAGTATATATACATGTATATACTCAGTACTCACCTTAGGACAGTCCATTTTCAATTTCCAGCCAAGTTTTGTTTGGACTTACAGTCCATCCACATGCGAATATACTGTTAAATCCAAATGTAAAGTATATTGTGGAAAATTGCATTTATCTGAATGTAACTCATTATGTACATAACAGTAAATGATAACAAAGATAATTATTATTTATCAGAGTTACATAGACAAGTAGGAATTTGGGACACCTAGGTCGCAAAAAAATGTCCCCCTTCGATACCTACCACTGTCATATCCACAAGTTGCTCTGGACCTATTAATTAAATGAAAAATACATACACCAGGAATTCTGGTAAATATATAAATTTGTGGACTGTATATTAAAAATAATAAATGGTTATATATATACACAATTACATAACAGAAGGAAAATATATCTTAATATCACTCAGCAATTTGACTGGATATTAAGTTGTATCATACTCAGAAAAACCTCACTAACTAAATCTATGAAAATAATGCTGGCCAGAATTACACACAATTCTAGAGAGCTTATCTGAGGTTCCTGGAGTTGTCATGTCCAGTCTGATATCTCAAGTTATGCAGGAATGCACATCCACCAATTTCGCCTCCTATTTGAAAGGTGTCAACACAATTTTAACCTCTACAGCACGAAAAATTCTTCCCATTACACCAACGTTCGTACAAAATTCAAAACCAAGATGGCGAGTGTCTCTTCTTTTTTCGATAACATATTCTTTTAAAAATACAATATAGGGCATCTATTTACCTATAAATTACCGTATTTCCGGAAAATATATGCAGTATTTTCCACATATATCCACTAGTGGATATACTACACATCCATTAGTGAATATATCCACTAGTGAACAGCATTATGTGATCACGGAATTAACTGCAGTGTCCAGATACACTTCCTGCATCACACAGAGCTTAGCAGCCAGATTGACAGTAGGTTCGAATCCTGTTGTGGACTGAGAGGTAATATATATAAATAATTTCGCCCGTTTGCGAATTGCTAAGCATTCCAAAATCTCTTTCTAAGTTCATTGCATATTGCATGAACAGATTAAATAACTTTTCACAAGCCTGGTGCCCGGGGTGTGGGGAGTGACCGTTTAGCTTCGGCTAGGCGCCCATGGTTGTCTGTGATCTGGCTGTGTGGATATAATACTGCGTACGTTGATAGCAACTTTGCACATGAAGTATGCAATACATCGATGCTGTCATCCAAGGTGTGCCGCGACAGTCCGCTACATACAGTAACGTAATAACAGTGACTCAAGAAATCGTAATGACACGATTGCAAACAAACCATACCTCCGGCCGGGATTGAACCCGCGGTCATAGAGTCTCAAAACTCCATCCTAGTTGGATGAATCTTATTGTGGCTAGCTGGTCTAGTGGCTAACGCGACGGGCTGGAGTTTTGAGACTCTATGACCGCCGGTTCAATCCCGGCCGGGGGTATGGTTTGATTATAACACTGTTTATACTAGGCTTTAGAGCAGCGTAAGAGGGATATTTGCTGCCTTTCTAAGCAGCGTTGACCGTCTTGACATCTGCTGCAAAATAAGTATAACTGCTCAAAAACATGTGAAAAATATAATGTTGTGTAGCCTTCAGACATTATAATGCTCTACAAAGCAAACACAAAGGAGACTGGAGACTTTATTAGGGCAGGTTTTCACTTAGAAACCATGACTGGTCTCACAGTTTGTTCTCAGTGAGAAACACTCATACTGAAGTGTTGTTATAAGCACGTTACTTTGTTTTCCAACCTGTCAGGAGTTTATTCCTCTTATGTCCATCATTGTGTGTGTGTGTGTGTGTTTGTGTGTGTGTGTGTGTGTGTGTGTGTGTGTGTGTGTGTGTGTGTGTGTGTGTGTTTGTGTGTGTGTGTGTGTGTGTGTGTGTGTGTGTGTGTGTGTGTGTGTGTGTGTGTGTGTGTGTGTGTGTACTCACCTAGTTGTATTCACCTAGTTGAGGTTGCAGGGGTTGAGTCCAAGCTCCTGGCCCCGCCTCTTCACTGGTCGCTACTAGGTCACTCTCCCTGTTCCTTTGAGCTTTATCATACCTCTGCTTAAAGCTATGTATGGATCCTGCCTCCACTACATCGCTTCCCAAACTATTCCACTTACTGACTACTCTGTGGCTGAAGAAATACTTCCTAACATCCCTGTGATTCATCTGTGTCTTCAGCTTCCAACTGTGTCCCCTTGTTACTGTGTCCAATCTCTGGAACATCCTGTCTTTGTCCACCTTGTCAATTCCTCTCAGTATTTTGTATGTCGTTATCATGTCCCCCCTATCTCTCCTGTCCTCCAGTGTCGTCAGGTTGATTTCCCTTAACCTCTCTCTTAGCTCTGGGACTAGTCTTGTTGCAAACCTTTGCACTTTCTCTAGTTTCTTCACGTGCTTGGCTAGGTGTGGGTTCCAAACTGGTGCCGCATACTCCAATATGGGCCTAACGTACATGGTGTACAGGGTCCTGAACGATTCCTTATTAAGATGTCGGAATGCTGTTCTGAGGTTTGCTAGGTGCCTATATGCTGCAGCAGTTATTTGGTTGATGTGCGCTTCAGATGTGCCTGGTGTTATACTCACCCCAAGATCTTTTTTCTTGAGTGAGGTTTGTAGTCTCTGGCCCCCTAGACTGTACTCCGTCTGCGGTCTTCTTTGCCTTCCCCAATCTTCATGACTTTGCACTTGGTGGGATTGAACTCCAGGAGCCAATTGCTGGATCAGGTCTGCAGCCTGTCCAGATCCCTTTGTAGTTCTGCCTGGTCTTCGATCCAATGAATTCTTCTCATCAACTTCACGTCATCTGCAAACAGGGACACCTCAGAGTCTATTCCTTCCGTCATGTCGTTCACAAATACCAGAAACAGCACTAGTCCTAGGACTGACCCCTGTGGGACCCCGCTGGTCACAGGTGCCCATTCTGACACCTCGCCACGTACCATGACTCGCTGCTGTCTTCCTGACAAATATTCCCTGATCCACTGTAGTGCCTTCCCTGTTATCCCTGCTTGGTCCTCCAGTTTTTGCACTAATCTCTTGTGTGGAACTGTGTCAAACGCCTTCTTGCAGTCCAAGAAAATGCAATCCACCCACCCCTGTCTCTCTCTTGTCTTACTGCTGTCA